TGCTCAAGAAGGGATCAGCAGATCGAAAAGATCATTTTTGGGAGGATATTCCGGCAAGCGATCTTCAACAGCATGCTCTTCGGACCAAGCATCTGCCAATTCAAGCCATCTCGAACAGTCCCGATCTAAACAATCCTGCCATTAGCATACTCATAATTCAAAGATCTAAGGCTTGAGACGAAGCATACCTTTCCTTAGCAAAACCGCCAATTGTCCCAGACGATAAAATTATCACTACGGTCGGTGCCCTGGCTCCAACGGAAGCTGCCGTGCGGCGTGCCGTACCAAGCTGCGGCCCCATCGGCCCCGACCTCCAAGGAGTAGCCACTGATGCAGTTTATTTTGTAACCTGCCATAGACCGTGAAGAGCCCCAAGCCGCCTCACACACAAGGGTCCCATCATCAATAATCCAAGCGGTCTTGAGCTCAGGCCCATTTGGCGCTAGGTATATTTGGCCAACATAGTGAAGACAGCCAAGGGCTGAAGGAATGGCAGAGATTAAAGCGAAAAGATGAGCCTTCATTGTGAATTGATGATTCAGGAAGAGGTATGGTATAGAGGCTCTATTTTGGCTGGAGAGGGAGGACCGAAACACCGGTAATGTGGACCGTAACTGTAAGGGTCTGAGAGATGAGTGAAGACGCTGCGATTACTATAATCCATCTCATACTCGAGAGGCCTTATATATGTGGGTGTGTAGAGGTCTCTAGACCTATTGGGGTCTGGAGGCTTCCTCAAGGTTAGGGTGACATTGATATTTACAGAACAACATTAGTGCTTACAGAGCAATATCAGTGCTTTTAGAACGACATTAGTGCTTACAAAACGACATTAGCACTTATAGGATAACATTAGTGCTTACAGAACAAGGACCACTACATCTAGTTTTTAGCTTTGAGGGAAGAAGAGATGATGGGCAAGTTGGCAAGTGGGCAGCTGAACAAATGCAGGGCCTGATCACTTCTGGCCAATGAAACTACTATGTACCTGCCATTCTTAGGAATGCCTATATATTATTGGTGTAAACTGTGGCTCTGAAGTAGCTACTAGTGTTTTTGTGCGTGACTTCATATATGCAGAAAGCATGGGCAGTTCATAGGCAGAAAGCAGATCATAGGCCCATCTGTCTGGGTAGAGTGCATTCTTGTCTGCTACTAACATGTCTCTTGCATCAACAGCATCCTCCAGGGGCCATGCCATGAAAAGATCACAAATAAGGTCACCAGACACCTCATCCCAGATTACAAGCCATGGCTCCTCCATTCTGCGATGACTGTATTGTACAGCAGTCACATTTTGACTGCTATCAGGGGGGGAATCTTGTCATGATAAGGCTGCTATTAGGATAAGACATTAAGAGTATCAAGTCTACTTTCAAGTCTACTTTCAAGTCGAATGTTGCGCGGATAATTAAGGTTAGGATAGTGAGGTCGTGGGGTCGTCGCGACTACCTTCCACTACCTTCCATATAGGCGGCTACGTGAAATATATTACAGGTAACAGGTTGGCTTACCAGAATAGGCCATGAATGAGGCAGCCCAACCAACTTACTACCCGATAGCCAATCGCCTCTACAGATTCCATAAATGTAGCATCATTTTCTACCTAGCCCTACCTAATAATATTCCTCGCCCTTAGAGAGGGCTGTCACCGAACCCTTGGATCCGAACGCCGCATGCCTATGCCGCAGATTCGCGCCCTCGACCTCCCCAAACTGCAGCCGAACCTTATCAATATCCCCCTTCAGCGGCTCGGATCCCAAGCAATGGCCGACTGCCAAGCGGTCCAGCTCCGGATTCCGAGTCGTCATCAAGACACTTGAGAATGAGTTGTTTTGGGGGACGCCGTTTCGTCGCAGGGCGAAGAAGCCGACGACGACGCACGCAATCGTGACAGCCAGCGCACACATGTAAGCCCCGAGCAGGGCCGTACGGCCGTAGAAATAGTAGTTGCGGTAGGTCAAGTCCGTCACTTTGACGGTGGTGTTTCCGCCATTGAGGCTGAGCAGGCTGTAGGTGAAATTGTGGCTCAGGTCCTCGATGGCCTGGGCCAAGGTTCCGTTCCGGCACGAAGTAGTAGTGGTGTCATTGCCATATTTATAATAGTGGCTGCTGGTGTTCCATAATTCTGGACAGGCAAAGAGGCCGGTGTACGCAAGTGACGTATCGGTGTATGTCGTCCTAGATGCAACAGTCTTATTCTGATACACTCCCGCTCTCTTACTCTGAACCAGTTCACCTTGGAGAAGACCCGAGAGGATCATCTGCATTATGTAAAAGCCTGCATTCACTGTTGGATCTAATCCTGAGTATGAAGGCGCTGCGGAGCTAGTAGCATCCGTTCTATTCCAATTGGCATAAGCGATGTGGTCGACTGAGATTGGCGTCAGCGTCTGAATGCCGTTGGTGAAATGCATGTTGACCACGTAGGAGGTATTCCAGAGCTGGCAGACAAACTCGGTGGGCTGTGTGGCGTTGTCGTTCCACAGCGGATTGCTGCCTGCAGCTGATATGAAGACGGTATTGTTGAGAGCCGAAGGTGCAGTCCCCATGTAGAGCCTCGTTGTCTGGAACTGCGGCTCTGGAATTTCGCTATCCCACAGTTTCTGCGTCACCCCGTCTATCTCCACGAGAGCTTCACTCAGTCGCTGGCATTTGTACGAAGGACCCCAGAATGAGAGTTCGTAAGACGAGTTGGAGAACGGTGCAGAGACTGGAAGCACTTCGGCCGATGAGGCCAAGGTTGTGAATACGCGGGCGATGCTGGCAGATGGGGAGGTGATGTGCCACATCTCATCGAATTGTGCCTCATTACGCCAGAATGATGGGTCAAAGTTAACGTTTGGAACGAGCCGCTCGATCTTATCCCTGGCCGGAGATGTAACTACGTTCAATGTTGCAGGCGTAACGATCGCCGTCAGGGGAATCAGCCTGGTCGGATCGAGAATCAGTCATAGGCTCACCACGAGGCATGGAGGTGCACATACCAGGCAACAATCGCCAGCACGGTCAGCGTCTTTGCATAGAGCCACAAGTCCAGGGTGAGAAAAGCAAGAGGGCTGTCCCGGACGGCAAACATGCTATCGATCCCACTGAGCCGGACACTCTTCCGGCGGAGGGTGGCCCAGGTCTCCTGCACCGCTGCGAGCCCAACGGCCGACACCAGGCATGATTTGATCAAAAAGGCAAAGCCAGTTCCGATCCGGATCGCCCACGTTTGTTGCTCGCGAGACGCGACGCGACGGCCGTCCAAGCTCTCGTAGTAGAGATGATGACCCATCGACAGCATCGCACCGGAAATGACGAGCCCGACCATCAGGCCCGGACACCTCCATCCAATGCCCCATGCGGCCGGAGTCTCTGTCTCTTGGACTGACACTGGCACTGGCACTGGCGCTGGCACTGGCGACTGGGGTCGTTTGTCCGGGACCGGGTCGCAATCGGCGTAGTGATCATAAGTTGGCGGAGACATATTAAATTGAGGTGCCCGGACAAGAGCGGACTCTGGCTCCGTCGGGAGACAGAGACCCTTCAGCCGTTCTTATAGGAAATGCGGCTCCTGAGTGAGCTGGGAATAGCAAATCCTGTCAAGGTAATTTGTGTGAGGGCCATGGCTGAGCCTTGCCTGCAGGATCCTTTGCTTTGCCGCCTTCATTCTGCCTATCAGTGCCGTTTCATTGGCTTTATTTCAGCGCCGGACGAAAGCGGGCCATTTTATGACTTCTGGATGTCAAGAAGCGATTTAGAGCAGGCCGCTATGAGTTGGGATTGGCAGTGCACTTTCCACTACGGAAGCGACCTGCTATTAGTGCTGACTGTGCTGCCCACCGCTCAACTTGAATCGCCCGCAAGACCGCGCTAACCGGTTGGAGGGTTGTTTGCGATACTTTGGGCCTCGAGGCTCGGACATCCATGCTGAGTCAGGCTTTTTGTACGATACTTGGTTCGATGTTGCGGGCAGTAGCACTAGACAGGGCGGGGAAGTGAGAAGCGCTGGCCCAAGATACCGGGTAAAAACAAGAACTTGAACAAGATCAAGAATGACAGGCTGCATACTCTCTTTACAGACAGGCAACAGCACGGACCGCGGGGTACTGCCAAATTGCTCGTCAAGTGGACCTTGCACTAGGTCGAATCGTCCCGAAGCGCTGCCAAGCACCGGTCAGGCACAGAATACGAGGTTGTCCTCGTGTTCTGTCCAATCCTGACGAGTTGTGACCTTATTCTATGTATCTAGTCTAGCTTCGAATGGCCCCCAATGTGGTTTTTGTCTTGTGATCTGTATGCCCTACCATTTTGATCACCACCTGCTGTGTAATTCTGCATGGTTCGTAGCCCGGCTCAGAGCTATGTTGAGTGCACCATCCATACCGCTCGCTTGAGGAAGAAGTGCATGAGGATTAAGGAATGTTGGTGCGGACAAGCATGCCAGGGACTGTACAGAGTAATCCAACACATGTTTTCGTCCCGGTTTGTCCACTTGGCATGAAACATTCCAGGGTCGCCGGCAGATTGCTCACGAGCATCCTTCTCGGCACCTTTCTACCATCTAGATTAAGCAGAATGGCTGGTGCAATCAATATAGCCCTGCTCATTATCCTATACAGCCTGTTACCACCAGCCCCCTAACAAAACTAAAGGAAAGACCGCTCCTAGCGGACATTCCAGGGTTTTCCACTGTCAAACTCGGTGGTAATTATTGCCTTGAGGAAGTGACTAGTCCCTTTAGTGATTCAGCTTCTCAGTTCCGCGATTTTCATAAAGGAGAAAGCACCCCTGGTAACTTTGACTGGGAACACACGTAGTATATGTCAATACTCTTGGCAAGCTTTTGAAGTCCTGATGTACTGCACTCGTCTCAATAGGTTACTATCACGTCAATTTAAATTGAGCGTTCCTAATACCATATTCAACATTTCAATCATAAGCCATCCATTCATATTACTGCCGTATCTTCTCGATGACCCTTACTTTTTGCCCTCATGCTTTAGATCATGAACCTAAATAAGTAGATTCCCTATCATCCCCAACCCGCCTAAAACAGCAGCCGCCCCCCCAAGAACCGGCACGTTCGCACCACCAGTGAACAACGGCAGGCTGGAAGTCGCCGCACCGGTGGCCATCCCAGTGGTCGGGACCGCAGGAGAGTTAGTCGTTGCAATTGGGGTCATCAAGGACGAACTGGTTGAGGTCGGAATCAAGCGCTTCGACGAGGTCGAGCTGGTGCTGCTGCTGGTGCTCGACGAAGACGAGCTGGTAGTTGGCTCAGCGGTGGTCGTTGGTTGGAGAGTTACGCCAAACTTCTTGGCACATGATTCTTTGTCGAGACCCTATACTCGATATTATTACCTATGCTCCATTGCGTAAATATTGCTGCGTTGTTGAGATGGTACGCACATCAGGACAGCAGTAAGGATCCTTCAGGCAGAATGAACCGTTAGGACAGGCATCTACGTAACATCCTATTCAGTATTGCGTCTCAATGAAACAGTTAAGAGATGGATACATACAGGTCCCCTCAGGGCAGCAGGTATCGCCCCGGCTCGGACTATAGCAGATATTGCTGGTACCGCAAACCGGCCACCCATCTGGACAACCGTAGGTCGTGCCCGGGATAAAAGACTGGTCGCCACTCTGACGCTTGGTGAGACCTGCTGCGGAGAAAGGCGACAGCACCTGGTAGGCAGCATGTGCATGGCCGGCCAGCATGGAACCGACGACGAGTGCGAAGACGTACATGTCTAGAACGGCTAGATTGGTATGAGTGACTCTCGTATGATGGAAAAGTGTAAATAAGCAATGCGGCTACAGTAAGTAAGTTGGAAAAAGGTTGTCGATTTATACTTTACCTACTGGGCTGGGCTGTGGTCAGCCTTGTTGGCAAGCCCTCCAGCAATTTGAAATACGAGGTCGGCGACTCTCAGGCAGGCTAATGTCCAGAATACGAGGGCTTAAGTCAACAACCTACGCAAAGAAGCCATTGTCTGGATGCAAGATCGTCCTGCCTTGTTCAGAGGTCATGCGGACACCCAGCAAGACAAGGACTATCTTCGCGTCACTTCATTTGCAAGGAGCCTCGTTGACTCGCAGCGGCCCATCCAAAACTCACCGAATGGGAAGCAGCTACAGTACCCCACTCGCTGCAACTACCGGTGGCCTGCCTCTTTAGGCGAGTATAATCGGCACTTTGCTGATACTTGGCAGGGGTCCCCGCGGGGACCAAGCGGTCTCCATGTTGTCAGCCTCGTATGGAGTCAAACATTTGAGTCTCAGATGGATGAATATGTCAGTAGTGTCTATGCAGACAGCCGGATGTTTCTCAATAAGCCGTCTGGTCTTGACAGACTCGTGTCCTTGATGGTGAATCTCGTAGCGGAAAGACATCCTGTATTGACCTGGCCATGACCCATCAGAACGACGCTGTTCTTGTGCCTACCAAAGGACCGGCAGCTCTCGTCAGCTATGTGAGCTAAGGCCGATCATTCCTTGACCTTCTCGTGCCGGCAATGCTTAAGCAGCCGCTTATTTTACGGAAGTAGGCCGTAAATTGAGGGCCTGTTTATCCCAATTTCAACCAGATTGTTGACAGACGTCGGGGATTCTTGACTGTCCAATCAATTTTGGGTCGTACGTAATACCTGTGATGTGATGAAACCCACATCCCAAGAACTGCTCTGCCGAGGTGGCCCACAGAATCTGCGGGGAAAGGAGACCTCATATTTACCATCTAAGGTACAGAGTGATATGAATTCACTCAGGTTTGTTCTTGGATATACTGCATGAGATTTGATGCGAATGACACGCTCACCAGTATTATTGAGCTGGGGTGGGCATGCGAGCGTACGATCAGAGCCGCTGCTGGCATACAGCAGCCTGTGCCATCCTCGCAGAAGGGAAACGTGAGACCTGTAAATTTGGTCCTTCCACGGCTAAGAGCATGCATGGTGCAGCCCGGGAAGCGCAGGTCTCTTCCCCTTTAGAGGCATACCGGCTGACTATTATAGATGGCTCTGGAGCATATGGAAGAGTCCTAACAACACCCAGTGGCAAGTGTCACTGAGCGTACTGGCCTTAACCGATATAGGATAATGCGAACTTAAAAAAAGAGGATGCTGCTTATTTGATATACTAATGGGAAGTAGAAAGTTTTAAGAACCATGGCTATATGATTTCTTACTGGCGAAATATCAATGTGACCAGGAGGATGTGGACAACACCCCTGATGGCCTCCACGTCCGTGCGCATGCATGCCTGTACATGCACCCAAGAGGACATGGGCAGCATTATCAATGGCTGCCACGTCAGAGTGTGGGCAAAGAACTAATAAGGTGAGACGCGGCAACATCTTGTTTTGTGGAAATATAGCCTTAAACATCCAGCAGACTGTAGTTCCAAGATCAGCCTCGCCCAGCAAAGAAAGCAATAAATGTTTCGTATTGGAAATAGCACCCATACACAACTTATACCACCAGAATCTAATTTTATTTTTAGTTTTATTCTTATTCTTTTACTTTTTTTGATGTCTTTTTATTTCCTTTTTATTTAATTTTAATTTTAATTTTTGTTTTTCTGAGGCTTCTGCAAGTGGCGGCATGAGATAGGTATACTTTAACTGGCTATCATTCCCTGCTAGTAGGACAGTAATGGGTTAGAATCCTGGCAGCAGTACTTCTAACTAATACATAATGTTATAGTGTTGAGGCACTAATCTGATGGTATGCAAATCAACAGAGGTCTAGGGGAGGATGTACAGTGAGTGCATCATTACAGGGTAACAGGATGAACTGACCAGGTAACACCAATGATTCATCTTGTGATTGTCTGCTGCGCAATACAGTACAACACAAAATGCAAGGGCATAGCAGGGCCTTCAAAGGCCAACTCCAATCTTAGCCGGCTTTGCACCCCCGCCTGCCATTCTCAAGCCTCTCAGCTCTTATTGGTTGTTCGCGTGCTCCTGAGTGCTGACCTGTAAACCCCGTTTCGAGACCCGTATTTATATAAGTCTTGTGTAACGCTTATATCCGTGGGGCTGTGCCAGTTATGGAGTTGTTTTATCAGACTCCTCTCCGCTACAAATTCTGTATATAACCGGAAGCTCCCGTTCGATCACCAAAGATCAGTCTTTCCACACTGTCAGACAAGATCTAGCTTGCCAATCTGGTTGGATACTCTAACCTACACCAACTGTGTTGGTTTTCATGGTATTCCTGTGCGGTGTCCCTATCAATTCCCACCCAAGAGGACCTTTACCTACTTTGAGGTTGGCTTCCTGGAGTTCTCTGTTCTCAGACACGCCGTACACCTGAAGTTGTGAAAACATCATGTTTCCACCAGTATCCAAGACGCTCGCTGTCCTGGGGCTTCTATCTCAGATTCCGTTCGTCCAGTGCAAGGATAACGCCATCATTCGCGATGTCGCGATCATAGGCGGTGGCGCATCGGGCACATTCTCCGCAGTCAGGCTGCGCGACCAAGGCAAATCCATCATTCTCATCGAGAAAGAGGGCATCCTCGGCGGCCATACCAATACATATCAAGATCCCGTCACCAAGGTCACGGTTGACTACGGCGTGGAAGTCTTCCACAATCAACGAATTGTCAAGGACTATTTCAACCGGCTGAATGTATCTTGGACAATTGCATCGTCAGACTTTGGTGCTGCGACACCAGTCTACTTGGATGACAACACGGCCGAACGAGTAAACTATACCAGCCCCGATCCTCGGGCTGGGCTGGTTGCGTATGCGACACATCTGGCTCAATATGCACAGCTCGAGCTCGGATTCTTCCTTCCGGACCCTGTTCCAGAGGACCTGCTGCTTCCTTTCGGAGAATTTGTCGCCAAATACCCGGACATTGACGATGCGGTCTCTACGATATTCAGGTTCGGACAGGGACTGGGCGATTTCCTTGCACAGCCCACGCTGTACGTGTTCAAGAATTTTGGTCTGGATATTATCCACGATATCTCCGCTGGTTTCCTGGTCACGACGAGTCATGATAATCACAAGATCTACGACCAGGCCGCCACACTCCTAGGGTCAGACGTGTTGCTGAGTAGCTGCGTTGTTTCGACACATCACCGAGATGACAACGGAGTCCAGCTGGAGGTGCAAACACCATTTGGCTCCCGGATCGTGAAAGCCAAGAAACTTTTGATTGCTATCCCTCAGAAACTCGACAATCTGCGTCCCTTCGATCTGGATGATCGCGAGGCCGGGCTCTTCGGCGAATTCCTGAACACGGGGTATTACACGAGCTTGTTGACGAACACCGGCTTACCAACAAACTTCAGCTCACTCTCCGTCGGCGCTGATACTCCATATAACATCCCCAAGCTACCAGGTATCTACCAGGTGACATCGACAGCGATAGAAGACGTCTTCGATATCAAATACGGCAGTCCTTACGGTCTACCGGCCCATTACGTGCGAGAGGAGATCTTGGCGTACGTCAAGAAATTGCAGGATAACGGGTTCGCGGAGAAAGTACACGGTGAGCCGAAGTTTGTGCGGTTTAACAGCCATACTCCGTTTGAGTTGACGGTGCCGCCGGAGCAAATTGCGAAGGGTTTTTATAGGGAGCTGTATGGGCTGCAGGGGTATCGAAATACGTGGTATACAGGCGCAGCGTTCCATACGCAGGATTCGTCGATGTTGTGGAATTTCACCGAGTCTTATGTGCTGCCTGGCTTGTTGAAATAGCTCTGATAGGTAGTAGACCAGTTTTGTGAATAGCATCACGGGGCGACTTATGTTGCATTGATCAATCGGGCACATGGGCGGTTTAAAAGTATGAAACTAGAGACCAGCATACATACGGTCCAGCCATCTGAGATATACTTGCAAATCTTGGCCATGGCGCGCGAATGCGACGTTCCACATCCTTTCGAAAGATTAAAGTGGTCATCAGTGGCAGCGACTCTGTGTCATCGCCATCAGGACTATGGCAAATAAAGCCCGCACCAGCGTGGTGATGAGCGCTCCCACCGGGATTGATCAGTCTTGTGACAATACAGAATCGAGATCCTTATCCAGGGGGGAATTGCGAGTATCGTGGTTGGCATTCCAGTTGGGTGTGGCGCTACTTGCAGTCTCTGGGTGGGTACTGTTTGATCGGCGCTTGCAAATACCGAGTCCCCAGCAGTCCACAGTGATGGCGGTGCTCAAGGAAAGCTTCAGCCTAGTGAAACTTTTTCCAGACGACCACAAGGCCTTTCGGACCACAATACAACCCTAATCGAATGCCCGTTGAACTTGTTGGGAGTGATGGATGCGGAGATGGACACCATTGAAACAGATCTTGGGCGTACACGACACGAGCTCGCGTCAAATGCGAAGTTATTGGACCCTTGATAGGTAAAGTATTTGTATAATCTGGAATGTTGTCAGAGCTGAAGCAAGGGAAATCGGCCAGTTCTATTTGATATTTGAGAATGGGGATTCCCAGCCCCCGTTTTCAGTATCCATTTCCGGTTCCTTGGGTACGGTGGGATCGAGGAGTACTACGTTGGCATCCTTCGTAGTATATAACAGTTCGAAAACATTATCATTTGGTTCTCGCTGTTTGGTAGCTTGACGTTTCTTCCCGGTCTTATCCTGGTGAAGTTTTGCCGGGCTGCTGTCGAGGGGGTACATCATCTACTTTCGACATCCCATGTAGAACAGTTCGACAAAGGTACAGAGCTAGCAAGAAATATTTTTGAAGTTGAAGACTTGATTGGAGCGTTGTGTGCGCTATTGGTCTAGCGATCTTTTTGTTGTATTCGAGACTGAACGGCTGAGTTTGCTTGGCTATGCTGTGTTCACTTCGCATATAAGCGTCGCTACTTCCTCAGAGTCAATCACAACTCTCGAAATGAGGACAAGATATGGGGCGAACTAATTCAAAACTGAGTCAAATTCATCTGCTTCCTGTGAAGCCCACTGTGTCGCGTGTCAGTCCCTGCGATAGCCACGACAATGAACGCCAAGATAATGTAACTGTCTTGGATTATGAGTACTATAGTCACATTCGCTCGTAACTTTGTCTTCTATCCAAGTCTTCTGACTTACTGCGTTTCCTGTGTGGTGGCAGTACTACAACGGGTCGCTCGCCCTTCAAGGCTTAGGTGGCGAAGCGACAACATGCCTCGGAGACTGGACCGAACGGAGACACAGGCGACCAAGCCGTCCAACTGACAGTCTGACGCGACATGGTTTGAACATCCTTGTAGCTCCTATGGTATGGCGGCTGCACAGTTCAACATTCGTTCTTCCAAATCTGACGACAGGTGATTACGACTTATGATATCTGAAACTTGACCTAAATCGTCTCAATGTACCGCACGCATAAGTATTTTGCTGTATCTGTATGACTGAGGAACCCTCATATCGCCGTTGCACTCTTTCTCAAAGAGATTCCCTGTAATCTTCTATGGAAGGGAATCAAAAGTAACAGTCAACCCTCGAAGGCCGCTCTCTTCTCGAAGATAACGATGCCACTACGACGATACTGATGGCTCTAATACCGCGCCGAGTGAAGGACTTAAGAAAGGCACATCATGACTTCGATCCAAACTCCGCGAATTCGGTTAGACCCCTCACTGGTGTTGCAGCCGCCGAAAGGTGCAGACTTGCCTTCCATTCTTTTACATTTTCAACCTTGACGGGAATTCTCGTGTTGGACACTGAAGGCTCATGTCCATTGACTGCTACAAGGTCTTGATTTTCACGCAACACTGAAGCGTCAGGATTCTCTGCGGCGGCGGCACAGTCTCCTGCTGCTGCAGACGTTCCAGTAGATGCCCGTGCAATAAGATGTATAGACAGTTTCGCGCGAGTTGAAGAAGAGGGATGGATGTACTGGTTGAAAAATTCGAGTATGTCTTTCTTCGTAAGTGGTTCGATGTTTTCGACGTCGTGATAGGCTGTTGAGATTTGGTCGACCGAGTTTAGTCAATGAACAGGGCCCTGAGGTAAGAGTGCAGGTTACATAGATTGGAAAAATTTGGAAAGTAGCAAACGTACCTTGCTCAAAGTCAAAGACCTCACTCGTATTATGAGTCCAAAAACGCGACGTTTCTTGACCTAAATTCTTCAGTTTCTCCAAGCGTTTGTTGACCAATCCGATCTCATGCTCCTTGAACGTCTCGTCGGTCATCGAGCGCAAATCCTGCTCAAGTGTCACTAAAAATGCATCACAGCTCTCTTCGAGATACTTGCAATTCCTCTCGCTCTGCAGGAGGATGCGCCATGTGCCAGCCATCAGTTAGACGCTTGCAGCCGAGTTGACGATATATCCCAGCTGCTCCTTTGTGCGCAGCGTGTTAAAGCACGGCTCTTCGGCAATCTGGCAGAAAAGTAGTAGCTTGGCTCGATGTGAACGATCCGAGACAGAGCCGACTGAGATGATATACCGGAGACAATGATTGACGTTATCCGGCTTCTTCAATACCCTCTCGTATAGGTGGTTTGCTCCATTTGGTAACGCAATCGCGCGGCGTGACGGCCACTGGCTCTCTGGTAGTCGATATGGGCGGAGTGTTGACTTCACAAGTTTTGTAATGTTTAGCGCGTCTTCCTTATACAAGTTGTCATGGACGAGGATCTCAATGTGCATCTGCCGCAGCAGTCCGGGAAAGTACGAACGTATATCCTCGGCTGTCACAGCTGGAAGCTCCTCAAGCATTTGAAAGGGAGCCCAGGATCTTTCGCTGATCAACATGCGCGCGAAGGCATTGATTTGTCGGTACGGATCCATGTAGTCAAAGTTCTTATACGCTTCCCTGACTCTCTCCTTGGCCACGTCGAATCGCCCTTGCTTGATTTCCAAATCTCTTACTCCCAGTAATACTTTCTCCACAAGCACCGACATCTTGTCGCTGAAACCGTTCAATTCTATACTCAATCCCTGTGCGCTTTCGGATAGACTGTAGCTCAGACCGGCTCTATCCGCGGCGTAAGCGTATTCATTGAGGCCGTCTTCGACCAAATCAACGTATACACGGGTCATGACAGCATTCATAGGAGTGAGCGAGAATAATAGATAAGAGTTATATAATTACTGGTGTCCTGGATAAGAGCTTATTAATATCTAAGGTAGTTTATAAGTACCTAGTAGGCTTAAGTATTTAGTAGGCAGTTGATCATGACAATGTAGACAAGGAGCTATGAGCCTGACACTGATGCTTGGGTCTTGTCATAGATGGAGGCCCGTTCCTGCGTTAACTACCAAAGTATAGTAAATATATATATAGTTTGCAATGTCTCTCCATTTAGAGAAGTATTGGAAGGCCTATAAGTGGTTACTTAGACTATACAATCCATCACTCTTAGTAGACATCATAACTGATTCTAGTATATCAGATCCCTTATAAGCCCAGGTATCACCTTTAAATCTAATGCAGCCTCCAGATCCTCCTTATAAACACCTATCTCCACTAAAAACTCCCGCACAGGCTCTGTTGCCCGCAGATAATAACATAAATAATGCACCATACTGCGCCCCTTAGTATCCATAATCCACACATCTACTCTATTTTGAATTAAACACTAGATTATCAGGGTTATAGGGCCCCCAGGAGAGTACAGCAGAAGTATCATCACTATATAGAGCAGTGCTGTCCAGCCCATACCCATCTAACTACATACATTAATATCCACTCCTATAGCAAGCAGAGCCTCTGCTTTAGGTATACTCCCAATAGCAGCAGCACAGTTAAGTGGGGTGACTATATCATAATTATCCTTGCTTTCAGGCCCACTGGTGCACTTATGCAATTCTCTAAAGATATTTTCTCTAGACTTATAGCCACCCATTAAAATGCCATCATCTACACACGCCTAGATGTCCACCCTATATGCAAGGAGGTAGCTGATTAGGGAGGTATTATCAGCTACTAGTTGTGTGTAATTAGCCTGGGGGATTAGGTCCTTACTAAAATAGTAAGTAGCTAAGTACAGCGCGGATGCGTTTCTAGGGAATAATATAAGGGCAGAGATATCTGCACTACATTCCTTAATAAGAAACTTGACTGTGCTAAGGTGGTTTTTTACTACAATAAAGTGCAGTGGAGTCCAGCTATAGCTATTTATATTATCTACTAGCAGATATATATACTAGAGAATCTATATAACTGTCTCTACACACCTAGCCTCTGCTGTGTAATGCAGAATTGTTAAGTTTAAGATACTCTGCGCAGTTATATCTACTCTAGCATTAACCAATCTCTGCAGGAGAGATAGTAAACTGCTATATACTATAGTATAGAGGACAGTTTCATTATACTGATTCTATAGTATAATACTCACCCCTGTGTAGAGAAGTGCTGTGACCACATCCTTATCATCAGACTTAACAGCACTAAAGAGAGCACTTTCTCTATTTAAGATGGCAGCATTAACCTGGGCCCCAGCCTGTATAAGCACCTTAATAATCTCCTATATATAGGGCCTCTTCGCAGCATAATATAATAGGGTTATACTGTATTTAGGGCAGGAGTTCATATCTGCGCCTTTATATAATAAAAACTGCATATAATCTAGAGATCTAGAGGCAGCCACATAGTGCAGAGGAGTCATTCTATCAAGATCAGCCTAGTGGAGAAAGCTATTATATTAGTATTAAGGCTTAAGCTTATTCCAGATAAACTCCAGGATGGTAAGATTACTAACCCTAGTAGCAATATAGATCTTAGTCCTGTTAAACTCATCTATAAATCCTTTAATATTATGCTTGTAGAGTAGCTGGATAATATCCAAGTACTAGTGCCTAATAGCTATGCTAAGCAGCAGGTCACTGTAAGGCTCATCTGGGGAGATATTACAGTTAAGTAGGTGGTAGGCAGTGGCAAGGTTGCTCTTCCTTATAGTAGTTCTCAGGAGTTCATCTGGCCTGTCTATTACTATTACTCTGCCTATATCTGCTATATCTATATTTATGGTGTGTCTCTACTCAACATTAGTGGATGAGAAATGGTTAAAAAATAAGGAAAAAGAATGGACAGAATGGTGGGGTTTAAGTAAGTTAGATTTAGTAGGTACAACTACTAACTATAATATAATTAATCATATATTCACATTTCGCGCCTCAAGATGGCTTATACTAAGAGAATTTGAAAGTATAAATAATTACCATGCAGGAAGCTAGTTCTGGTATATCTAATAATAGAATAACTAGGATACTGTGATGGAGCATGTTTATGCCTCTAAAGATAGCACTAGAGAGAGCCCTAACATAACTTCCATAGTATAATTACCATCAGACTCAAAGTAATAAGATAATCTAGACTACAGCAATGCACTGCACATTTAGTAGCTTCTATCTATCCACTATAGATATATATAATTTACTGCAGCACCTACTTTATCTATCCCGCCATAATCTCTCTCTCAACCATAAGGAAATTGCGATTTATTCCGTCCCCAAACTGCTGATACTGAGACGTATGGAACTCTAAGGGGTTATCACTACCAGGGTAGATCAGTCTGAATGCTTGAGCCCCCAGATATCCCTGGTCATACAGAGTACGCGCGAATTCCGCCAGTTCAGTTGCGTAATAATGGTTGCCCGCAGCACTCGGGGCAGGGGGCCCCTGGATCCTGCATGTATCTTGAGATCAAGAACTGATACTCCATAGTTGTAGTAGTATAGGTTATTGGGGTCGCAGGGCTCAACAGTGGCGGTGTTTACTCAGAACTAACTCCATCATCAGTCTTTAGGGGAGGTGGGGGATCTCCTGCGCAGTAGTATGCCTCCCAGCAAAGCCTGCAGTTGCCTGCATACATTCCTAGCTGGGTTTATCCTTTAGGGCAGGAGCTCTTATAGAATGTCTCTACTCTCAGGAAATTAGTGGCCTTCTTTTGCCACAAGTACTTCTTGAACTGCTAGGGCACCTTGCCCTTACAGCAGAAGCTCTTAGCTCCCTATATATATATCTGCTCTCCACCAGCAGCATTGGAACCAGCAAAGACAAACATTAGATAATCACTAGGGTAGTCTTTATAACTACTAGATAAGGAATACAGGCCTGTGCTTCCCACCTACTTACATTCACTATAGGGGACCATAGATAGCATGACAGTGTATTAGGTAGACTAATGCTTAGTCTAGCAGTTTAGATAGCCTAGCATGCTAACTTTGACCTTACCATCCTTACACCTGGGGCTGTAGTTCCCACTATATTTTAGTATACTGTGCTATTAATAGCTGGGCAGGTCCACATTACCTAGACAGCAGAACTTGTAGGAATCCTGACCTAAGTAGTAGTAAGTCTTATCAGTTATACTAAGAGTATCACTATCTATGCGCCTAATCTATTTCCACCTAGTGGGATAATTCTTGCCACAGTTAATCTAATAATATATATCTATATTACTGCCGGCACTGTCATTCCTCTTAGTTAATGTTAATGGAGCTATACTTATAGCAGAGTATAAAGGAAGCTACATTTATTTCTTCCTAAGGCTGGTCATCAGCCCTTTGGCAGAGGTTAACTTATGATTGTTATAGCTAATCTCCCACACCATCACGCCCCTAGCACTATGATTTTGCGAAATTGCTGTGGATCTTAAAGGTGTCTGTATCCTCATACAACACCTACTAGTCACCTAGTGGATTACCTTGACAGCATCCTCTTTATAGAACTTAGGAGTAAGGCCATTCTCATTAATTATAGTCTAGATCTTAGAATTAAGAAGGAATCTAACTATGCTGCTACACTAACCTGTATTACTACTAGACTTATATATACAGCCCAGTTCAAAGCAGTCTAGTAATAAGAGGGTAAAACTATGGCTGTAGTACACTAGGCCCATTATTACCTTAGACAGCTTAATATCATTATGCCAGATCAGGTCTAGTGCCCCCTTGATCTTAGTTAGGTTTATATAGGGATTTAGGAATAGTCTAACCCAGGTATTATTCTAATCCTAGGTACCATGCATACTATAGGATATAGTATTAAACCAGTTAACTGACTCCTGCAGTCTCTTAATGTCAAAGTATTAGAGATCTATAGTAGTTAGTAGGCTAATAATATACCATAAATGGGTAGCATACACCAGTAACTTACAGGGAGGGTTAGGGCCAACCTATACTTCTTTCCACTGCTCTAGAGCTAAGACTGCAGGTTCCTTATCTACTTTAGGAAATTATTATAGTCTTCTTTCTAACCACTACACTCTTCCACAATGAGATACTCCCTGGGCCTTGTTAGTACAGTATATAGCCTCAGTAGAAGGATAGGGAGTTACTAGTTAATATCCACACTATCAAAACCATACTTTAACATCATTATAAGTAGTAACTTAGTAAACTTCTTCTGATTCTCCTCAGATCCTATAATATCCAAGAATGTACTCTTCATCAGCTGATTAGGATTATTAAACAGCCATCCACCCAGAGTAACCCAGATCTCAACACTCAGCTGCTCTAGCCGCAGACTATACATCCACTCCCAGAGCACATCATCCCACAGCTCTGCCTTAACCACCTTAAAAGTCTCCGGGTTGATGCTAGCAAAGGCAAAGTTAACATACATGTAATACCCAGCGTGGATCTCCTTAGGACGGAAATACTCACAGTGTCGCTTGATAGACCACTGCTCGCAGTAGCCAACCACCCAGTCGATACTGCCGCTGGCATGTAAGAAATCACCAGTAAGTATAAGTTGAATCCCTCCAAAAGGAGAATCATTCTTTCTTACAGACCTCGCTAAATCACACGACGGGCGCTTGATGGTATCCTTCTCTCCACAGAACTCCTTGGTTGTGCCACAGAAGCCGTATTTCGAGCAGCAGACTTATCAACCTTCAATAATTACTATGACCTAAGGAGGATCGCATTTGCCCAGTACAATTCAGATAGATTAATAGTGCCCTAGACAGGCAAGGTAGCTCTGGGTGACAATTCACCAGCATCACTAATTACGATGTAGTGCCACTTCTTTGGAGGCATGCAAAGATTTTGAGAGGAAAGAGGAATCGGCGACAGCCTGTAAAACCTGTTCTTTCTAATATTCTGGA